AACAAACAGTCTATTCTGTTGTAGGCAAGATTATTCCCGCACAGCAAGCCAGCGCGCTTCTGTTTGCACAAAAGAAGCTGAGTCTTTCTGTGCAGCTTCTTTGCGCAAGTTTGCCGAGCAAGTTGTGCTGCGCAAGTTGTCTGAGCAAGCTTCTCTGAGAGCAAGCTGGTGAGAAGAACATATACAATTCGGGCACCTTTTGAACAACAAGAAAAACATATTTTCTGGATTCAAGGTTCACAACTGCGCAGAAAAGCTTTCTCCAAAGTCTTGACTACAGAGACAACAAGCGGCTAAGCAATTCCATTGCACCAATAAGAGAAAACAATCGGCCAAGCAAGATGTGGACATGCCAGATCCGCAAATTATGGAAATGGGCTGTAAACAGAAAAGAAAAGCATCTTTCCGGGACTCAAAAAATCACAACTGCCCAAGATTTGTTTTGAATCCTGACTCCAGAGAACGAAGGATACTAAACGTTGAAGCTTGCCCACGCAACTGAGTGTGACACAGATCTTTTGAATTGCCCCCTGACTGACTGCTGAATCTAAACTTTTCAAAACAGCATTTAGGCCGAGAACCAGGATGTCTGCGACCGTTGGGACCAACCTTGGATTCAAGATCTAAATACCGGTGCAGAGAAATCTAAACATCGGTATTTACAAATGTAAACGCCAGTATAATATATATATATATATTTCAGGAGTATCGCTCATGGATCCTAGATTGCTCCCAAAGGTGCCCCGCGAATCTTAGATCTTGGATTCCGGGTCCACATACGTGTAACATATATATATAAATATATATATATATATATATTAATATACACAGTCTCTGTGTGTGTGTGTCACCTGGCAATCGGCAATCGACAACACAACTCGTCAGCTTCTTGTGTTGACCGGCTAATCCACAGACATTGGGTATTTAGCCACACCAGATTTTCCTCACAGAAATGGAACCTGCAGTCCACATACAATTACTTCATCACCCATAATGAATTCGTCTACTAGAATCAAAGCTGCAAGAGCGTCCATTCTAAACAGCTTCCCGGAACTTACAACTCATCTGGCATGAATCTCGGAAAAGGTAGTTGGGCATGGCTCCAAATTAAACCACCAGGATTTGGACCGCAGGTTTTAGTCCATGTTTCCATCTACCAGGGCAAGCCATTTTCGGGTTACGCTATTTTTGAAAACCGCTGCCATATCAACGTGGGGTTGAAGCCCCCGGAGGCAAACTTGTCACACCGCACATTGCCTCCAGGCTGTCAGCAGGCCGCTTCAGGCCTGGCGGTGTTGGGGCGGAGACTGAACCCATGTTTTGGAAGACCATGATTCATACATATGGAGTCATGGATATGTTCATCTTGCGATTGCAAAGAACCAACTTGGCCTGCTTTCGTTTTCTCTTCACTGTTTCTTGCGCAGCTTCTACGCATGGAGTCCGACCGGTTTTTTAAACAGATAGAAACAAACTGGTGCTTCTGGCGAGTGTGCCCTTGAGAATTGTTAGTCGAGGATTGCGAGCCCAGCTTAGGGTGGTGTCATGTCAATGCGGTGTCTATCTTTAAGACAACCCCGACAAGAGTATCTGAAGTAGGTCACTTTCATGCAAGGACGTGTGTCCAAATACAATCAAATATTGTTTCTTTCTGGACGGCTTGCAGAGAGGTGCCATGAACAGAAATGAGCAGAGCATCCCCACAATGGCCACTCATCAAACTTCTGGCAACTCCCAAGTGACAAACTCGACTCTGGCTTTCGAGCTCACGCCCACCTCCCGCAAGAAAGGAAGCTTCGCTCAGATGCCCAGTGGCCAGGGGACAAAAAGGGCATTATTTTTTTGGTTGGTTGAGTTTAAAGGGAACCCTTCGCAAAGAGTTGAAGAAGGAAGCCACCCACTGGGCATCTGGGTTCACGGAAGTTGTCATCCTCAAGCTCGACAACCATTGGGCACCAACATGCCGAAGCATAGGAAATCTCCTGGGCCCCTTCTGTCCGCTCAGCACGAGCCTGGGCCGCTGGTGAACCTTGGCCGACATGCACCGAGGTTTCAAAGTAGGTCACAAGGTCCTCCAGATTTGAAAGCTCAGAACAAGTTGGTACCCGATTTTTGTTTTTCCTGTAGTCTAAATTCTAGTAGGGGAACCCTCCCAACCAAAAAAGAAAGGGTAAAAGGGCACCTAGCTGGGGGACCTATGCATGGCCTAAAGGGGACTCATCCTGGACAGGCCATTGAACTGGGCGTTTGAACTTTAAGCCTTGACACCAAGGACTTTCGGACGCGTAAAACAAAGGGCCAAGGTGAACGAAAGGGGGGCTGGTTGTACACAGAGTCGCTTCCAAGCCGGATTTCGCAGGCTCGAAAAGGACAACTCAAATGCCCAATTTTTCCAACTTGGGACGCATCCACAACCCACGCCAAGGCCGGTTTCTTGTCGTTTCCAAACCCCACGGCGGGCATCGCACCGACTCTTTTCATGGCACCCCGTGGAACAAATTGGCAACCAAGGACTCCAACAGGTCGCCTGGGATGACCCCGCTAGCAAACCTTCGGCAAACCAAAAAAGTGGTTGACGATAGCATGCAAATGAACATGTTCACATGGGCGGAGCTCTTTTGTAAGGAAATTCCAGTGACGTATCACGCCCGCGCCAGCGCGCAGAGGGGGAATACGATCAGAGCAGATGCAGAAAGGTACCGCGTTCTGCAGCGTTTTATTGGACCTCTGATCCCCTGAAGTTTCCATTTCGGAACACCTGAAATCTACAATCTGGAGTTCTGAATCCTTGACATGTCCAATTTGGGCCCCCAAAGTTTCACAATTTGGAGCCCGTCTAAATATGATGTCCTTTCCAAATAGGATGTTTCTTCAGATTGAACTTGAAGTTGAATAGAACTTACTAAGGACATAGTTCACCTGAAATTCTTTGTTCAATCATAATTTAAATAGGATGTCCTTTCCAAATAGTAGATAAAGGAAATCAATCAGTTGGTCATTTAACATAATCGAATTTATTCCAACATATGATTTAGATAAAATGTGGCTAAGAAATAACATGACATTTAAATTAGAATCTTAAGTAGAATATGATAACATATGTCAATCAGAAGGTCTAACTTGAGTCGCATCCCTGTCGAAAATAAGATGTGCATTGCGATTGCTTTTGTTTACACTATGGCCCTTTTGTGGTCTGGAGTTTCATTGTTTCTTAGGGGCCTGTGCAGGTTTCAGAGCTTTCATCTGCAGGAATAGATATATCTAATATATCTGCAATTTCCAAAGCGTCGTTCTGCAATGTATATGCAAAGCTGTAAAACATGTTTTCAAACAAAGTCATGCTTGAATCCGCAAACGGGATCCGTTTTTGACTTCTCGCCTTTCAAATAGAAGGAAACCACGAACAAAACAATGTCTTTTGTCGTGTTTTAAGACCTGTGGAAGAAAGACAAAAAGGACCACCGTTGTAGCTGTTGTTCTTCCCGGACAGGTTGCTTTGTGACACTAGCAAACACATCATTCAAACAGTTGAATATTCTGGATCGATAGTTCTTTCTGGATTGTTGATTATGCAACCATATCAGTGCAAATGCCTTCCAAAATGCCGCGCAACAGTCGGACGATTCTGCAATGGACCAAAACACACACACAAAAAAAAAGAAAGAAGAAGCAACCATTCCAGCTATGGTGGGGATAGGATTGCGTGTAGCCTTTGTGTTTGCGTTTGTTTGCTTCTGGTCCAGTTCTCCTGTGGCAATGCATCATTTGCATTGTGTTTGGTCCAGTAGAAACTGTTTCGCAACACTTCTAACATATTGCAAGCACGTGGTAGATATTGCAATGGACCAACGAAAAAAATGGGGACAGGATTGGATGTTTGACTTGTGTTGCCTCATTTTTCGCCTGTAGTTGTTTGTCCTGTAGTTGTTTGTTGATTCTGAGGTCCACATGCAGCTCCTCGTCGTTGAAGTTCCCCTAAATGATGGCCAGCGATGGGGCAAAAGATGGACATCTGCTAGTTTTCATTATAAGGCAATCTTTCTTGTCTAATAACCCGCGCACTTTCAGGTTTGCACTGGGCAAACCGTCGGACTTTAAGTAGATGAACGGTTTTCTTTTCTACATCTGGGTCCTCCAGTAGAGAGGTTAGAATGAGGATACCCTATTTTCTGTAGTCTATTGTCTATTTTAGTAGGGGAACCCTCCCCAAAAAAAGGGTAAACGGGCACTACTGGGGGACCTAGATGTTCATACCATCTCCGAAGATGACTTGCCTGACCCGGCCAGCGCTAAGCAACCTTAAACACTGGAACGAGGCACTGCACCTGCACTGCACCTGTTGAAAATAGAGGGCAACTAGAAGATGGCAGATGACACCAAACAAGGTGGGCTCGTCTCTTCGCCCTCTCATAGAGTAGCACCCCGGCAGCGGAATACATACCCTCCCACCAATTGACGTGGAACCTGACCTTCTGGAGGTCCTTCCAGACCATTTAAAGAGACCCCCGACCGTCAGGAAAGGGAGGGTACATCACACAAATTTACTTGAAGTTCCATCATCTTCCTGACATGTATCCAATTAACCAGGCTTAAAATTCAGCAGCACGCCCTCACCAAGATCCGCTCGAAAGCTCCAGGGCGCAGACTTAGATGTCTCGTCCAAGACGATGCCTTGCGCCGAATCCCCGGTGCTTGAGATCAGCATGCGCCACTAGAAATTGGAAATGTCAGCTATGTTGCAGCTTGAAGCCTGGCCACTTGCACTTCACATCTCTGCACGTCATTTCCACACATGTGGCCCTATCGCATGTGCTCACTTCCTGTCTGGATGGGCCAAAACCGTCCAACATGTTTGCCGACCACCAAAATGGTCTTCCCGAAAAGAGTAAAGTAGGAACTCAGGGAGTGAGTATGTATGTAGATGCCCTCCCTCCAACAGTGGGAAGCTGACAGATATGAGTAGCCCTTTTTGGGTAGTTTTAAAGGGAAACCAAAAGCACCACCACCATTTTGGGGGGTCCCAGAAAGCAAGACAGACTCGTAGTTTGAGAAACATGTCGTGTTGCCCTTCCGTGATGATTGGACAGGTGAGGCGTGTTCAGGATTCCGATGAGGAACCCCTGTTTCGAACCCACGCTGCGGGCCTCAGGAGCTTGACGTGGGCTTCATCTCTTCCAGGGTCGCTTCAGGTTCTTCTTCCCCATTTTGAACACAGGGATCCGTCCTTTCAGGAAACCATCAAATTGGGGAGACAGCTGGTTATTGAAAAGAACATTTTTCTCATGGAGCCACGTCATGGGGAACAACATCCTGGCCGGTGATGAAAACCAAGAGTACACCCGCCCTAGAAACTTCTCGGCTGTTTGAAATAACACGCAAACCTGAAACCACAAAGGCACTGACGCAAAACGTGTGGGGACACCATGGGTGCTCATGCACACTTGCCGAGGGTTACACTGCCTCTAAAAAAACCGAACCCGCGGTTAGTACATAGCGTTGGGCCAGGTACCTTCGAGATGTCCCCAAATATGCTGTCCAACTCTTGGTCAAAGACCTGCGCGGAGGAGCGCGGGACAGACTTTGCCTGGCACAACACGATGCACTCGATGCACTCCACGCATTCGATGCACGCAACTCACAACTCATTCGCGCTCGCCCTCGCGAAAATGGGATGGCGTCGAGTTCTTCCACCTGGGCCATCACAGGGCATCGCACAGTCAGCGCGAGCTCACTCACGATTCGTCAGCACAATTCACACAGCGAAGCACTTCGAGCACTTCAGCTTGATCTCCTCTCCGCTCTCCGGACCCTGGGTCAACTGAACTCGCACAGCTCGCTCACAGCTAGCTGTGACTCGGCGCGACTCCAAAGACTCAAGCACGCCTTGCCGAGACACGAGACGTGTCCGCATGCGGCGGCTTAGGTCTGATGGGGCTTCACACTCCTGTCAAATGCATCCCAAGTCGCTCGCTGACTCACACATACACACTCATTCGCACATCACAGCCGGCACTGTCAACTGATGCTCGCAAGTTCTGCTTTTGGTTTTGTTGGAAACCATTGAATGGACGCCTCAAAACCGTTGAAACTCTGCATGGGGCGTCAAAAGGCAGAGTTTTTTTGGTCGCAAATGCTGAGGCACAGCTTCACAGCTCCGATTGCACCTGGAAGTGCGTCAAAGCTTAGATCTCACGTGGCTGTGGGTCAAAACCATGGTGAACATCAAAGGTGGCAAATGGATGTTCATGCACCCCGAAATGGAGCCATAGGTTCTGCAACCCATGGCCATGTCACTAGGATGGCAGCCCCAGAGGGCGCCAAAGCGGACCCAAGCACAATCTATCAGGCGGGGCTATTGAGCGCGGGGGCCCATCTAAAGAAGACACTGAACAACCATCCATAGGAGTTGTTGCTGTTCTGAACCACGCCCAAGCGGTATGTGAAAAGACAACCACCCTGCTGTCTGACTTTGACAGCCCCTAAACATCATGAACAACTCAGGGCGTAGCAATGGCAAAGCCAACAGGAGGGGACACATCATCTCTCAGAAGGCCAAACGCAAACCACTAGCAAACTGTGGTTGGAAGGAGGCTAGATTTGACACAACGCCACACACCTGCAATGCGCGTCTTTGCCAGAGATCAGGGCGGGTAGCAAAGTGGTCCTGCCGTGTCTTTTTTCCAAGCGACAAGCAAAAACAATCTCAAGCGCTGCGAAGAAGCCTACGCATTGTTCTTGGAGTGTGGCACCCAAAAAAATGGGCCAAGTGCTTCTCCGCGTGCCGTGACAGCTAGTTCACGTAACCCAATACGACTCAGTGGAATTGTGCTCACTGTCAAAGTGCGTCGAATCCGCCCATGCGTCCCTGCTTTTTTAGTGACGGGATGCCGTAACAGCCAGCCGTGATGATTGCGCCTAACTCATGTCTTGCAATGCATGATTACAGGCGCTCGGTTCAAGAGAACATTGGAACATCTTGCTCAGAAGCAGGTACTTAATTGCCTTGTTGTCTGCTGTTTCCTCACCAAAAGCAAAAAACGCATACTGGCCACTCAGCAACTGATTTCCAAACTGGCTGCAGGAGAAGAAAAATACAGGCTCAAGCCCAAGTCACCAAATTTGACGCAACGCCCGAATCAAAAACACAAAACCACGACCAGTAAATTTGACGGGTTGCAATTGGCATTCTGTGCTAACCTTGCCCTGTGTCATGGTCCGGCATGCTTTGTCCTTTTGGTGGATTGGCCGATTGCGTGACTTGGCCTTTGTTCTGTGGACCTCCGCGGAGAGACTCAGCACAGTAGGTATTTGCCTCGTCCGTTTGTTTTTTCAGACACCGGGCTCCCTTTCTTTCTCCGATGCATCGGACGCCAACACCCTGGTAGTACCTGATATGTGTCGCCTTTTAGGCCAGCGACCCAGATCCATTGAGGCCAGCAACAGCAACAGCAACAGCAACAACCAAAGCAGCAGCTACAACAAAGCAACAACCGCAATAACAACAAAGACAACAACACACCAAGAACAGCACCAACAACCTCAACTGGAACTGCAACCGCAGCTCCAACCGCAACCACAACCACAGCTACAGTCACAACAGCAGCGGCGGCGGCAACAGCAGCAGCAAACAACATGGAATGCTTGCTTTGGGGTGTTTCAGTGGAAACCGGAAGTCCTTGTCACTGAAAAGCCAATTTTTCTTTTGCTCATCCAGCAAAGGACGTCCTTATCAGGACTGCTAGTGGTTTCTGCAGTTGTGCCTGTATTTTTTTTCCGGAAATGCATTTGGCTGTGCGCATGAGACCAGGTTTTAGCCTTTAGTATATTCCTACATATTCCTACCTCCATTCAGTGCATGGCTGGGTAAATGCACCCCTGCAAGGAGTCCAATGCATTTGCTCCTTTTAGGTGACTGCAAACACCGGCATTTTGTCGTTGCCTGCATACTGCTGTAAAGCAATCTGCGTTGAAGCTGCGTGAGGCCTTCGGCAAAGCTTGTTCAGCACAAAGTGTGCGATGCCGCAGGATACAAATCACAGCTCTTGAAATGTCTCAGCGCCACATTGAATGCGGTGCCCAACTTTGCCACCGCGATTCAACCATCGATGGATCCCTGCTTGGGATGAGTTCAGAAAACGTGCCCCTTGATTCTAGCTGCCACTAGGAAAGACAGGGCCCGCTTTCAAAGATACCCTTGAAGGTGCTTGTCTTGGGGATCTTTGTCTCAGGTTACTCAGCTTGTTTCCTTGCTGTACATCATTCATTATTGCAAGCTTTAAGTGAGAAGGGACAGCCAAATTTTACATGATTGTGATTGTTGCTGTTGATCTTGCTTACTAGTTGCTTGTTGCTTGTTCCCTGTTGCTTGCTGCCTGTTGCTTGTTGTTTCTTGCTTATTACTAATTCTGATTGTTTGTTGCTTGTTGTTTCTCGCTTTCTGGCTTGTTTGGGTGTGGTTGTGCTTGTTTGGGTGTAATTATGGTTGTGGTTGCGGTTGCGGTTGCTATTGTTGTCGTCGTCGCCGTCGTCGTCGTCGTTTCTGATCTTGTTGCTCCGGTTCTTGTTGTCGTTGTTTGTGTTGTCATTGTTGTTTTTGCTGTTGCGGTTGATATTGTTCTTGTTCTTGCTGTTCTTCTTCTTCTTCTTCTTCTTCTTCTTCGTTTTGATTTTCTTGTTGGTAGCGGTAGTGGTGGTGTGTGGTGAACAGCAAACGGCGAAGTCCCAGGACTTGTCCAATACTTCGAATCCAACCGGGAAACTTCGCGAATGCTCTGGCGCGCCTGGCTGAAGAGCTGTAGGCGGCGGCTGGCCGGACAGCTGGAGTCGTTTTGGCAAAGGGTTGGGACGTTCAAGCACTCAAACGGGCGATCAGGTACTTGGTAAGTGGTCAACAAGGTCGGTTCTAACCCGCTGAACGAAGAAGCATGGTTATTACCCACTTAGGACTTAGGAGACCACTTACTAAGTAAGCCACTGTCAGTGCTTCCTAAACAATCCAAGGACGAACATGAAAACAGCTTAGTTCTAAAGTCTCTTCTAGGAACCCTTTGGGCTCCATGAGTGCTGCCATTCGAGTGGGTAATCAGAGAAACTAATGCGGCATGTATTTGCGGGTTGCTCCAAACTCCACTGACTCGGATTGGCCATTCTTCGCGAAGCAAAACAATTGTGTGGTCGCGATTCTTTTTCAGATTCGTCCGTTTCTACTTGCCAGGTGTGGATTGGCCGAACAAAGTTTGAACCTTTTATTTATCACCAAAATGGTCTTCCAAAAAGTTCAAAGTTCAGACACTCAGTTGTTCAGCCTCCATCCCCTGCATACCAACATGCAGCTATGTCATGTGCCAAGTTGCCCGCCACCCTGAACGGAACCTATAGTTTCCTCTCTCTCCGTAAATCTGGTAACATTCAGTGACTCCTTCCATCCCAACATGTCTAGGTACATTCCATCTGCACAAATGACTACAATTCATTGATCGCTAGGAGTCGGAAAAGGATATTAGAAGCTTCCGTCAACCACGCACGGATGGAACCGCTCTTTTACCCGTGATATCCTCTTTTTCCGCCGGCCTAAAACAGGTTTTCCTACCAGTTCCCTGCCATCGCGTCCGAAGTCATCAATGCGAGGCCTCCATACAAAAGCCACTGCAAAGATGGAGACTTGCAAAGAGTGATGTTGACAAAGAAGGAAACCTGGCCCCCAATTGACCCATGCTTTTTGCCGACCCAAAGCAAAAGAATACAGGTGGACAAAGATGTCTCAAAATGGAACCCAGAAAAATGTTTGACCTCTGCCCGCCTCATAGCTGAAGCGTGTGTTGGTTACGGTCACTGGGGCGGTCGGCACGTGGCCCGAAAAGGCGCCTAAGGGAAGTGCTGAGCTCAAGTGACCATGGCTAACATCCATGGCCTCACGGTCTGCAAACAAATAGGACCCCGAAACTGGCCAAACGTTCGGGTCGCTCAAACCAGAAGGCTCGCAGACTCCGCAAAGAAAAGAACAGACTTCCTTCTTGGTCGAAAGTCAAAACACCATAGTTCATAGAGGACAACAACATCTGGCTTGTGCTCTTTTGTTTACCCCGTAAGCACCCAAAGAGAACATGTGTCTTTTTCGGCCTTACAAAATTGCTGACAAGCGCGCTGGCAAGTGTAAGGGTGTGCGTGCGCGCGCGTGCAGGTGTTTTACAGGTGTATATAAAAAGTGCGTGTATGTGTATATATATATATATATGTGCGTCCGTGCTGCGTTGCGTGTCAGTTTGTCTGCCTATGTGTGTGTGCCGTGCATATGATGAGGGTGTGTGTGTGTGTGGGTGCGTTTGCGTTTCTGATTAGATGTTCATGTGGGTGCAATGTGGTGCATATGGTGCGCCTGTGCGCGTACGTGTGGTGTGCGATGGGTGGTGTGTGATGGGTGGTGTGTGATGGGTGGTGTGTGTGTGTGTGTGTGCGTGTGAGGGCGTGGTATGTGTGTAAGTGTGTAAGTGTGTAAGTATGTCTATAGGTGTGTAAGTGTGTAAGTATGTCTGTACGTGTGTAAGGGTACGAATTTGCAAGTGTATATATGTGTGTGCGACTGTGTGGCTGTGTCTGTGTGCGTGTGTCCGGTTCTGTGTGTGTGTGTGTGTGTGTGCGCGATCTGGTGTGTGTGTGTGTGTGTGTGTGTGTGTGTGTGTGTGTGTGTGTGTGTGTGTGTGTGTGTGTGTGTGTGTGTGTGTGTGTGTGTGTGTGTGTGTGTGTGTGTGGGTGGGTGCGTGCGTGCGTGCGTGCGTGCGTGCGTGCGTGCGTGCGTGCGTGCGTGCGTGCGTGCGTGCGTGCGTGCGTGCGTGCGTGCGTGTGTGCGTGCGCGCGTTCTTTTGTGTCTCTGTGTGTATGCGCGTGCGTGCGTGCGTGGCGTGGCGTGGCGTGGCGTGGCGTGGCGTGGCGTGGCGTGGCGTGGCGTGGCGTGGCGTGGCGCGGCGCGGCGCGGCGTGGCGTGGCGTGGCGTGGCGTGGCGTGGCGTGGCGTGGGCGTGGGCTGGGCGTGGCGGCGGCGTGGCGGGCGTGGCCTGGCGTGGCGGGGCGTGGGCGGGGGGGTGGGCGGGGCTGGGCGGGGCGGGGGGCCGTGGCGGGGCGGGGCGGGCGTGGGCGTGGGGCGGGGCGTGGCGGTGGGCGGGGGCGGGTGGCGTGGCGGGGCTGGCGGTGGCGTGGGCGGTGGGCGGGGCGTGGGCGGGCGTGGGCGGGCGTGGCGGGCGTGGGCGGGCGTGGGCGGGCGCGTGGGCGGGGGGCGTGGCGGGGCGTGGGGCGGCCGCGTGGGCGGGCGTGGCTGGGCGTGGGCGGGCGTGGGCGGGGCGTGGGCGGGGCGTGGGGGGGCGTGGGCGGGCTGGCGGGCGTGGGCGGGGCGTGGGCGTGGGCGGGGCGTGGGCGGGGCGTGGGCGGGGCTGGGGGGCTGTGGCGGGGCGTGGGGGCGGGGCGTGGGCGGGGCGGTGGCGGGCGTGGGCGGGGCGTGGGCGGGCATGGGCTGGGCGTGGCGGGCGTGGGCGGGCGGGCGGGGCGGGGCGTGGCGGGCTGGGCGGGCGTTGGCGGGGCGTGGGCGGGGCGGGCGTGGGCGGGGCGTGGCGGGGCGTGGCGGGGCGTGGCGGGGCGTGGCGGGGGCGTGGGCGGGGGCGTGGGCGGCGGGGCGCGTGGGCGTGGGCGTGGGGCGTGGGCGTGGCGTGGCGGGCGTGGGCGTGGGCGTGGGCGTGGGCGGGGCGTGGGCGGGGGCGTGGGCGGGCGTGGCGTGGGCGTGGGCGTGGGCGTGGGCGTGGGCGTGGGCGAGGGGCGTGGGCGTGGGCGTGGCGTGGGCGTGGGGCGGGGCTGGGCGTGGGTGGGGGTGGGCGTGTGGCGTGGCGGGCGTGGGGGGTGGGGGCGTGGCCGTGGGCGTGGGCGGGGCGTGGGCGGGGGCGGGGGCGGGGGCGGGCGGGGCGGGCGGGGCGGGGCGGGGGGCGCGGGGCGCGCGGGCTGGCGCGGGGGGCGGGGGCGGGCGGGCGGGCGGGCGGCTGGCGGGCGGGCGGGCGGGCGGGGCGGGCGGGCGGCGGGGCGGTGGGGGAGCGGGTGGGCGGCGGCGGCGGGGCGGGGGGCGGGTGGCGCGGGGGGCGCGGGCGCGGGCGCGCGGGGCCCGAGCGCGCGGCGCGGACCCGGGCTGCCGGCGCGGCGCGAGCTGGGCGCGGGCGCGGGGCGCGCGGGGCGGGGCGTCGGAAGCCGGGCGGGGCGGCGGCGGGCGGGGCGGGCGGTGGGCGGCGGTGCGCGGGGCGCCGCGCGGGGCGGCGGAGCGCGCGCGCAGGGCGGGCGCGGGCGGGTGGGGCGCGGAGCGGGCGCGGCGGGCGGGCGGGGGCGGCAGTCGGGGGCGGGGCGGGCGGGCGGCGGAGCGGGCGCGCGGGCGCGCGGGGTGGCGCGGGCGGGCCGGCCGGGGCGGGCGGCGCGGGCGCTGCGGAGCGGGCGCGGGCGCGGGCCGGGCCGGGGGCGCGGGCGGGCGCGGGCGCGGGCGGGCGCGGGCGGGCGGGCGCCAGTTAGAGCAGAAGGCACTGAGGCCTTGACCGGGAATCCCTCCATGGCGCCCGAAGACTCTCTGCCGATGGTCAGGGACCAAGAGTTGGCCTAGCAGCGACAGGTTTGACAGGGCTTCTGGTTTATACTGACGGACCTTAAGTTAGAACATTGCCAATTCACCAAACGCGCCTTAGAACATTCAACATGTGGGTAGTTAAAACAAAATGACGAGTAACAGTTAGAACATTCCGGTCAAAAATTGTCAAAATCTCGCAGTATTTCGACTTAGAACATTTCACGCGCATCCCTGGCCAGTTGTGGCATTGAAAGTTAGAACATTTGGAGATATTTATGGATATTGGTGGGTAGCAAAGTCCATGGCTGCAGGGTTGTCCACCACCACCTCCACGCCAGACCCAGGCACCTTCTGGTCATCTACTTCCATGGCTGCCAAGGTCGCACTCAGCTTGTCAGCATCAACAGAATCTGCTCCATCAGGCTGTCCTGCCAGCATGTCGTCCTTTGCCACGGCAGCCTCCCCAAGGGGGGTAACAGCGCATGACGCAGCCGACCCACCCCTGGCTTGGACAGCCTCTCTTCCAACAGCAGCCACAGCGCTCTTGCCCAACTTGCCGGCCTCCACAGCAGCATCGTCCGTCGCCTCAACGATCACCATGTCCACATCCAGGTCCTCCTGGGCCACACAACTCCTTGGCCATTGCAAAAGAGTCAAATAGAGGCAAAAATCGCAGTGAGATCAGAGAGGCAAGAGCGCTTGACACACTTGAGCCAAAATGGCCCCGCATTTGGCAGTGTGTCAATCCCTAGCCCTATGACATCCCTGTATGCATGTACAAGTACACACAACACAGTAAAACTAACCCCCAAAAGTTACCCCCCAGAGCTAGGGGCTGGGCCCCGTGTGCGTAACCGGGCCCACCGGGTTCATGGCAGTTCCAAGAGCGCTACGGGTGGTTGAGCCGGCTGCAACGAGGTCATGATTCCCAAGGAATCACACACATTTCATCATGTCGTGTCACGCAAGGTTTTGTTGCTATTCCATTCGCGTTTTGCCACCGACCGGGCTGCACCTCGTAGCCCCGAAACAATGAGAAAGAGCAAAAAAGAGAGGAACAAAAAACAGGTCGTCAACAAAAAACGGGTCGAAACGCTGCAAAACCTTACTTGAGAAACCTGCCAGGCAAAACACTTCTCTTATCCTTCTTCTTGCCTCGAAGTGTATCATTTTGCATATCCGATTCACATGGAATGTTATCGTTTTGTTTCCTCCTCATGGCTTTGCCCAGGAACGGACCTGTTTCAAGCAACATGGCAACACACAACAAAATCGTGTTTTTTTGTGTTATCGGTTTTGCCAGGCCCCGCGCATGTTCCAACACAATGCGCACGACTCTGAGGCATACCGCTGCAGCCGTCTTTGTCCAATCCGAGCCCGTCCAGCCCTTTCCGATTTGCCAGAATCTGCTCGTTTCCAGCAAGTTGCTTCACCGTGTTCTGCGAATTCCCATCTGCTCAGCCTTGTCTCATCCAAGTCGACCTGCATAACGGCACTCTACTTGTAACGATACGCAGGACACGATATGACACGATCCTGACCGGCACCGACAGAATCTGACAGACTCCGACATTGCACTGTTCAAGGGTACGTTTTGGGTCGTCGCCTTCTGCGGTCAGTTCGAACAGGCTCGCTCTGTATGATCCTGCAATTCCAGATTTGACCACTTGTTGAGACTTGCGTCCGGTTGCGGGTTGTTGCATCCGTTTTGCGGGTGTTTGCGCCCGTTTCGCGGCAGTTTTGGGGCGCAATGTTGCGCGAAAAAAAAAAAGCAAACGGTCAGACCAAAGGCCAGTTGATGCTTCTTAACTGCACGAAATTCAGGATCTGCAACAAAACAAGGCGGTGCCTAGAGCCGCAGGCTCAGCTGCCCTCAGAAATGCTTCACAGGTAAGCAACGCGCTGTTTTTTTTTACGAAATGTGTCCGATTCTCAGAAAACTGCTCGATTGTGACAACGACCAGTTTTGAAGGCCACTTCCAGAAGAAGGTCAATGTCGCTTAAGTAAACAAAAGTAAGTAACCGCTTGACGCTGCAGGCGTTTGTTAACTGATTTTGTGTGAGTGTGCCTGTGTGAGTGCGTGCTAGCGTGTGTGTGTGTGTGGGTGCCTCAGTGCGTACATCCACGCGTGCGTGCCTTGTGTTTGTGTGTGCGTGTGCGTGTGTGTGTGTGTGTGTGTGTGCGTGTGTGTGTGTGTGTGGGTGCGTGTGTGTGTGTGTGTGTGTGTGTGTACGCCTGTGTGCTTTTGTGTTCGTGTGTGCGTGCGTGCGTGTGTGTGTGTGGGTGCGTGTGTGAACATGTGCAGTGTGTGTGCATGTGTGCATGCGCGCGCACGCGCATCCGTGGGTGCGTGCGCGTGTTCGTGCTTGGGTGGGTGGGTGAGTGGGTGTGTGTGTGTGTGTGCTTGTGTGCGTGCCTGTGTGTCAGTGCGTGAGAGAGTGTGTGTGTGTGTGTGTGTGTGTGTGTGTGTGTGTGTGTGTGTGTGTGTGTGTGTGTGCGTGCGCGCGCGCGTGTTTGTACGTGTGTGCGTGTGTGTGTGTGTGCATTTGTGTGCGTCTGCGAGCGTGCGTCGTGCGTGCGTGGGTGCGTGCGTGCGTGCGTGCGTGCGCCATGCGTGCGTGCGTGCATGCGTGCTTGCGTGCGTGCACCATGCGTGCGTGCGTGCGTGCGTGTGTGTGTGTGTGTGCGTTCGTGAGTGTGTGTGTGTGTGTGTGTGTGTCTGTCTGTCTGTCTGTCTGTCTGTCTGTCTGTCTGTCTGTCTGTCCGTCCGTCTGTCTGTGTGTGTGTGTGTCGTGTGTCTGTGTGTCTGTGTGTCTATGTGTCTGTGTGTGTAACTCTGCATGTGCCTGTGAAAGTGTGTCTCAGTGCTCCAAGGGATACGGGCAGAAATTGAGCCAACCGCTTGAACAAGCTTCCACCAAAACGTCTTAACCATCTTCACTGAATCTACAGTCCCTTGCAAGGGGCGAAACAAGGTCTGCTCTACGCCAATCTGTCCCCAGCCGATGCCGAGAAAGAAACCAAAGCGAGTGCAAGACTCTGGCCATTGCTCCATCCGACCCACCAACTGCAAAAACGAA